GGCAGGCGTCGTCATTTGGTCTTAGCCGCATCGCACAACCCCAGGAACACAGTAGAATAGTAGAATAGGAAATTCACCATGAGGTTAGCGACCTACAAAACGCAACTTTGTGCTGCTTTCGTTGTACATAAGTTGACGAGGGCTAGTCAGTCCAGTTGTTGTTCCTGTCTTTGATGGTATATAGTAGGTACTTTAGACATGTCTTGCCATATTGTCTCCAAAACATTAATGGAAAGATCCAACAATCCCCGGAAGAAGATAAACGTGCGCCACGTAGGTGTGCACACATCACCTTTGGGCATATTAGCAGCGACCCGGCGACAAAGAATCCATGCCGTCGACTTCACTCATGATGTCACAGACGATAGATTCTGCGCCTTTTGGTGTTCGCAGCCACCTGAACAAAACATATTTATGTGACATCACGTAGAATCTGTGCCGGACGCACAGAATCTTTTCCCGCGACTTGATTGAAGTGAGAGAGAAATGGCACAACAGATTTAATTGTAAGAAGTTATGTTGCATGCTCGGGACCAACCACGAGTGATGAAAAGTTATTTACACGTTACGAACAACATAATGTGCAGTGTGCATCGTTAGTAGGATTGAAAGAATCTGCAAAATTAGTGCATTTGCATGCGCAGCCAATGCCGCGACAGCAACGAAGTTGTAAACAGAAAACGAGTTGCGTTGCAAACACGCCCGACAAATATTATACGTGACGTCACTTAGAATAGGACAGTCTCAGTGCGCTGCGAATGCATCTTATCTCAAGCCCTCTACGATGCCCAGAGAATGATAGTTTCCCGAGTAGAAAATAGGGAATTGACAATAAAGTGGCTAAAATCCAGGGGAACTTTGTGAGTGGGGCACCAATTCCAGAGGCGCTGCAGTGAAGGCTGGCCAATCTCTTGGCTAAATTACGGATCCGCTAAGTCGTACGCTGACACAAAATGCGAAGTGTTTTTTGACGCTTGCACTATCACTGTGGGGTGTTTATGGCTCGACCAGTAACCTGCACAGCACGAGGTCAATTGCAAAGCCTTGCTGGAATTTCAAATTTACTTTTAGTGGTCTGAACTGCGTTGTTTGGGTTTTATTTCACCAGCACATCTGAGGAACCTTTTGAACCAAGTAATCGAGTAATTATGCTTGTATATCTTTCGGACGCATATGAATATAACGTTGGTTTCGAAATATATTTTCCATGTTGGTGAATTTTGGATACAAAATCGTAAAACATCTTTATATCAAGGAACTGAAAGGGATGGAGACAGGTTTTACACTGTGACGGTCCAGCCCAACATTGCGGGGACCCAGCCCAAAATGGGAGCCGGGGCAGCTCAACTTTGAGGAGCCATGCCCCCCTCCCTAAAAGCGATGCAAAGTTCCACCCCGTCTCGTAATATCTTTCCAGAAGGTTGTCGAATATGCCGTTGAGTAAAACATTGCAAAACCTAACTTTCAAAACGGGACGAGGCGATGCAGATGCCGGTTCTCAGCCGCGCTCTTTCAAGTAACCGTTGTTTTAACGATAACGTCACAGAAAATAACGCGAATTAGCATTGAATGTGACTAAGCCGCGAACGAGGGACAGGTTTCGTTGTCTCTTTTTATTTGGGTCGCCGATATTGGGATGGGTCCCCGACCACGAAACAACATTTCTTGCGTCTTCACGTTGATGTCATCACGGTGTTGGTTTCATTTCCTCGAATGTGGCGGTAGCCAGAAAAATCCCCGTAAGAAGCCATGACAGGTCCACATAAGCTTTGAGAACTAATGAAGCCTGAAATCAGCGGTCCAATCCATTTTGATCCGGGGTAAACATTGCAGTATTTCTCGCCGGGTGCCGAAGGTTGATCCACATTATCAATATTTGGACGGCTGGAGGCCCTTCAGCGGTGCTCCCCCCCCCCCTCCGACACACACTTCCCAGGAGTCCTCTGTCGTCATATCCGGCGCGAGAACACTTCCTAAACTCGTCTGTGTGCGACCACATTCGCCCAGGCTGTATACACGGCTGGATTCGGGAAGCCCATGGTGATTTTTCTTCACCAGTTAATGATTCAGGTTGTGTGTGTGGCTTGTCACCGAGCTCGGAGTACAGGGCGGCACCTGACCTCTGCAACTGCGCGCACCAGCGACTCTGTGGAGACTGCTCCGACGCGTGGCGCGGGTCGGTGGAGGATCCTGAATCTAGCGGAACGGGTGACAAGGAGACAATAGCAGCTGCATGAATGCTGTTCTCTTACCGGCTCTTACTGCCAATCATTGTTGCAGGTTAATACACCACTGGGCAGGGGTCCGCATCGGTCCCATTCGACTTCAGCATAGAGGGATAACCCATATATATATATATATATATATATATATATATATATAATGTATTTCGACCTCGAATAGATAGAGGTGTTTGGTATTTCTTGCAGGCAAAAAAAAATTAAAGCAAAGAAACACAATGTTGAACAATATCTGTGCGCATGTAGACTTGGAACGAGCTATGCAGGTGTGACTGATGCTGTTTTTAGTCGCTGGTGGGGTTGAGGGGTCCGAAATGCTTCAATTGTATTGCAAATTTCGTGGACTTAACTCCCTTAACGACACCAACCGATCCGAGGAATTCTATCACATCATTTCCCATAGCAAATTTACGGCAGGGATGGCGGATTTAATGTATAACACATTATCTAAGCAATTAAAACCACACACACTATCTGCGTTCGCGATTCTAACCAGTCAGAATGTCTTCCGCTACAGAGACCCAAATTCGTAACGACGCCTCGCGATAGCCTTGCGCTGGGTGCTCGGTGATAATATTTACATTGTGAATCCCCGAAAGACGCTACTGATGAAAGAGGACTGAAAATACCATGGTATTCGTAACTATATGAATTACACACGCGAAGCATGCACATGGAAACAAGAACCACTGATTTTATCGAAAAGCAGAGAATGATTACCGTTATGCAAGTCCAAGATAATTATGGACAGCGGTCACAACTGCAATATCACGCAACCCACAGACATACCCATTTGCAGCTGCGTCAAAACAAAGCCGTCGGCCGTTGTCGATGTTGTTCCAATGTTGACAGGGAACTAAAACAACTGCATTTTGACTACAGGCAAGAGAACTTCAAATACATCAGAAAACCCTCCCTCACTGACAGACCTTTTTCGTCTCCAAAGAGCGGTCATTTTCTTGACCAATTGCTTGTTGACAAAACCTTGCCGATCGGGCTAAGTTACCTGATGTTTCACCGCTCAGCGTCAAGTTATGAATAATATGACTGAGTCTAACATTACACCATGATAAACCACAATGTCTGATGGTTTCAATAATATAGATATTCGGGTTGACCTCGTCGACGCGGCGGAGATGTCAGCATGTTATAAAATGGGGCGTGTCATCTTTACATTTGTCATACTCTGTGAACACACATAGCTATATCACGGGCGTCTGACTTGGTGTGCAAAGACAGCTTTCTACAAATCGGCAATGATAGCTGAGATTCCCTGCTTGAAGTGATTATCTCCACGAATCTCTTTGATTGGGTTCCCTACCTAACATTTTCAAAACGAATTTGTCCACCTTATTTTTGTGGGTATTGCGCACCGCCAAAGGGTTGGCTCAGAAAGCGCTGGAACTACCTTCCGCCCTCCATCGCTTGCATGATGACTTAAAGTACTCAGTTCCGATGGCAATACTTTTTCAAAGTATTTTAGTCCCGCGGAGTCCTGCGGAATCAGGCCTCGCCGCATGAGAAAACGTCACCCGACCATGAGCTAAGCCAAAGCCTCATCGCCACACAGGCGGCGTCTTCGCTCGGTCGTTCAAACGGATCAGCCGCCCGCCAGCGGGCTTCCGGTCGCCGCCATTCCTGGAGTGATTCAGTGATGTCCAAAGCTTGGGTCATCCCTTTTAAGCACGCTACGTGAGGAAATGAAATTGCGTGTTGTATACTTGGGTGACCCAGTCGCATTTCCACTGCTGGTAGCTGTAAGCTCTGACCGCCTTGAGGCTAAAAATAAAAAAATGTTAGCGGGTTTCGGGAGTTTATGGGTGCCTGTGAGAGATAAGTAATGGGCTGGATTGGGCAGGGATCACAAAAATCGGGCATCGCTTCAACTAGGGGCAGATGCCTGTATAGGGCGTCGGGCAGACGCTTGAGTGAATGTTACAAATTGTTATTGGTTACGGCTCTTTCTATAATAATCAGGTGCATTTACAAGACTTCTGGTATTACCAAACCACAAAACGCTTTTTAACTGCGTGTGTTTTGTGGCACTGCCACATGGCCACTACGTAACGGCCACCTCAACAAATGTTCGTGCCCGTACTCAACGTAAAGACGCACAATTGTATTGCATTATCCGCTACAGAACAGCTTGAGTGGTGTTTATTTTCTTGCATCAAGAACTCTAGCTCTTGAAGACTCCTTGCCCCCTCCCCCCTGTCCCTGTGTTACATACCAGAACGAGTCCTGAGCGACACATCAAAATGTGCCGGGGGCTCCCTGGTCCCTGAGCGCCACATCAGACCGTGCCGGGGCTCAGCATTGCGCCCTTCCCCCGTCCGGCCGGACCAATGCGGGCCGCGGCCGCTGCCGTCAGCGGATGCGGGCTGCCAGCTGACGCGGGGTCACCAGCCGCGACCCCCGGCTGTTCCCCTCGATCGAGCCGCGTCCGAGCGCTGTGAGCCGCAGTGAGCTGCTGCCGCAGCGCGGTCAGGCCGCGGTGAGCTGCTGCGGAGCGGTTTGGCCGCGGTGAGCTGCTGCGGAAGTCTGGCCACGGTGAGCTGCGGCGAAGCGGTCTGACCGCGGTGAGCTGCTGCGGAACGGTCTGGCCGCGGTGAGCTGCGGAGGAGTGGTCTGGCCGCGGTGAGCTGCTGCGGAGCGGTCTGACCGCGGTGAGCTGCGGCAGAGCGGTCTGACCGCGGTGAGTTGCTGCGAAACGGTCTGACCGCGGTGAGCTGCGGCGGAGTGGTCTGGCCGCGGTGAGCTGCTGCGCAGCGGTCTGGCCGCGGTGAGCTGCGGCGAAGCGGTCTGACCGCGGTGAGCTGCTGAGGAGCGGTCTGGCCGCGGTGAGCTGCGGCGGAGCGGTCTGGCCGCGGCGCAGGGCAACCGGCTAAGCCGAAGCCACAGCTGGCTGGGCCAAAGCCACAGCCGCGTATCGCCACGATAGACCGCAACTGAAGCCCTCTTTTGGTCAGGCCGGCGGCGGCTATGGATTCGTATGCAGACAACGTCGCGGCCACCGAAGCCAAATTGGACTTTTTTTGGAGCGAGTTCTGTGCCGGCTGACACAGCCAGCCGTTGATTAGCAAGACAGATGGTCTGATCTCATGCAAATTGTGCTTAATCGTCAATTGCAGTCAGGAAAATCAGGAATGCATTTCACTGTTATTGGAAACTATCACGCTTTTTAATCGCCTTCTCTTTTCGGAGTTTGCTATAAATTTTAATTCGATCTGAATGAAAGCAGTTTGATTTTCAGAATCTTATGTTGAGTTACCGACATTTGATATGCACGAAACCAGTCGGTGAAGACGCAAAGAGCAACAAGCATCGCTTTCATGACAGTCGGCGACCTTCAACGCTCCGTTTATGATCACCAATGAAAAAGGTTGAGAAAGGTTAAGCAAACAACTACAAACGAAAACCAGGGCCAGGTTCTTGGTCTTTGTTTTCAAATACGAAGTCTTAAATGACATAACACAGTCTTTTTCACTTGTGATCATAAGCACAGCGTAAAACGTCGAGCACTGGCAATAAACCAATGTTTATTCTACAACGCTGATGCATAGTAAAAACTTCGCCTGGAGGCCAAGGTTTTCAACTGTAATTTTTCAGTTAAACTTGATTAACTTTTTTCACTCGCTATCATTAACAAGCTCGAAACTTAAAGTACTGTCAATTTAACTAATGGTTGCTCTGAAACGTCGTTTGACCAGTACATCCTGTTATCTTGAAGTTAGATAACCCAGCATACGAGCTCTAAACTCGCGTGAAAAAAATCAGAGGCTGAAGGCCCTTCTTGCTTGTCATGAATGGGAACAACTTGGCCACAGAGAATGGGACAGCTGTCACCTGGATTCTGTGCTGAAAAGGATGGACCAAGGTCGTGGCTCTCACAGAACTAATGTTATCTGTCTCAGCGGTTGTGGGTTTTTATTGCTTTGTTTGTATAGTTCGACGTGTTCGGAAGGTAGTAGATCTGGCCGGGCGGAAAGTGAAATCTTGAACGGCGACGGGCAGGTCCAGCTTCATTCATGTGAGACTTGCGACGACAAGAGCTAAGTCTAAGAAGGGATGACACAGGTCATTTCAGACGTGAGTCTCAGCAAACGAGTTCCCTAACTAAAAGAAGGGTCCCTGTTATAACAATGCAACAAACGGTCCGCTGCCATTGACATCAGCACCTGAACACGTTGAAGTCGCCTGACGTACTTCAAGAATATTCTTGTGTACCTCTGGAACATGTTCATTGTTCCACAGAAACGGACAGAGGGCCAAGACGTACTGCACTCGTGAGACGGCTTGGCGGGTGTGCTGGATCATCCTGCCCATCAGCATCGTCTTCAACATCCCCTACTTCCTTGCCTTCACCGTCGACGACCGTATCCGGGAGACGGATTTCTACAACGGACAGTAAGTGGCACGCGCATGCTTCCTGTGCCGCTGTCGCTATGTCGGACAGTAAGTGACACGTGCCGATAGCATGCCCCCCCGTGCCACTGCCGTGGTGTCGTTCATTGTTTGCGTGGAGCTGGGCGCGAGCAACTTTGCTGTACGTTTTGCTGAAAAATTGCTTTCCAGAAGAGATGAGCATCGGACAATGAAAAAGTCCTCACAAAGCTCATCGTTCGGCTAAGAACAGTGTTTCCTTTGTATGGGCAGGGAAGAGGGTGGGGGTGGCCGAGGTCCTGTCACTTCGCGCGATAGTGAAGAGTTGTGAGTTAAGAAAAATGGAGTGTCGGTCAGTTGTGAAAAACGGCTAACGTCGTTCACATGGTTTTACTTCGGCGACATTATGCTCCTGTGCCATTCTGGTGCGGGCGTTGTTACCCTAAGACCGATAGGTTTCACGCCTATGCTTTTATCTTGATCGGGTTAAGGAGGAGCATCCACGTGATGTACTGGAGAGATACTGGCCCACTGTCTCCCACTGCGCGTAAGCTCCCTGTCTTGAGACATGGACGGAGCAAGACAAGACCTATGTAGCAGACGATTGATAGGGCACGGCAATAACGTCTACTAGGGAAGCACGAATTGCGTTTGGGATTTATTACCTCGGACAACGCGCGACGAGAGCAGCTGCAATGGACGAATGTAATCCCCACCTGCTCGTCCTGGGTGGGCCTGATTCACCGATAGCTGCCCCGCGGTTCACGCTGTCGTCGGCAGCTGCCCCGGGGCTTACACTGTCGCCAGCAGCTGCCCTGCGGTTCACACTGTCGCCGGCGGCTGCTCCGCGGTTCACGCCGTCATCAGCAACTGCCCCGGGGTTCGCGCTGTCGCCGGCAGCTGCCCCGGGGTTTACACTGTCACCGGCAGCTGCCCCGGGGCTTACACTGTCGCCGGCAGCTGTTCCGCGGTTCACGCTGTCGCCGGCAGCTGCCCCGCAGTTCGCGCTGTCCCCGGCAGCTGCCCCGCGGTTCACGCTGCCGCCGGCAGTTGCCCTGGGGTCCATGCTGCCGCCGGCGGCTGCTCCGCGGTTCGCGCCGTCATCAGCAGCTGCCCCGCGGTTTTGCGCTGTCGCCGGCAGTTGCCCTGGGGTCCACGCTGCCGCCGGCGGCTGCTCCGCGGTTCGCGCCGTCATCAGCAGCTGCCCCGCGGTTTGTGCTGTCGCCGGCAGCTGCTCCGCTGTTCACTCTGTCGTTGGCAGCTGACCCGGGGTTCACGCTGTCGCCGGCAGCTGCCCAGGGGCTTACAATGTCGCCGGCAGCTGTCCGGGGGTTTATACTGTCGCCGGCAGCTGTCCCGCGGTTCACACTGTCATCAGCAGCTGTCGTCGGCGCCGACTGGCCGCCGCTAATGCTAACATCCCTCAGAACAAACGGGCGCGGACCAAGCAAAGAAGGACGCTTTCTCTTGACTGCAGATCTAGCTGAACTGACGCGCGTAAAAATAGGCATCCCAGAATCTCAGAGGTGCAAGAATCCAAACTGCTGGAGCACTAACGACCCTGATGGAAGCAGCTCTGGATTAGATGACAGGGACTGCATGAAATAAACTTTGTTTAGGTTCCAATATTATGCCGTGTGTGCGTGCCAGTTAGAGGAAGTCCAGCTGTGGATGAGTGCACTTCACGGCTAAAATAAAACGCCGAATAGCTACCTAGTTAGCAGAACAGACAACTACAGATATTCCATAGCTGAAGCAGCCGTTGAAGCGTCCACCTGAGCATCAAAAGAACACTTGTGAGAACGGGTCGTTGTAGAAATGTCTTACTTTTGCAGATGTTGAAATTAACGTCAGATATGATGAAACGAACTCAATTTTAGCTGTTGGTGTACTTTGAAGTGGAAAAGGCTGGTCTAGACAACACCTTTCTCTGTTAAGTAAATGTGCCCATTAATACGTCATTGTTTGATCGCGTCATGGATCGCTTGCATGACGTTGAGGTGCTGTCAAACGAACCGTGCAAAATTATCACTTGTAGCATTTCAAACTCATCGAGAGTTGACAGTAAGGGCTGGCAGCGTTCGCTGACCTAAATACCGTTATGTGCTTGTATTTTGGTCTTTTTGCCGTGATGCTCTTGCATACGTATTCGTGAATTTAGGATGCTGACTTGTATTCCGAAACTCGGTTATGGCGTTATTCTTAAGATATTTGATTGCAAGCTATTTTTCTGTAATAACAAGCGAGTGAAGAAACTATTTTCAACTTGTTTTATTATGTTCCACAACACGTGTTTCGTAATTAAAGCTTGCACAACTTGCTGAACGTTGTTTTAAAGCGATATGACGTCTACATTGTTTGGAAATAGTGTTCACGGACGTCAGATCTGAACAGCTGGACGATAATATTCTTCCTGGCCTTGATCGTCGTCTGGCCTGTGGGGTGGCAGGAAATAAATGGCATTGCTATAGTGTCATGCGTGCCTTAGTGTCTTTGAAATATTCCGCACGAAATAGTCTGTGCATCTTGACGGACGTGCAACTAAGAAATTTAAGGATAGGGCTGCGAACAGCACCGGATAATCTTCAAAATGACTAGTTTTGCTCAAAACCCAGAACAAATGTGGACCACCCCCCCATTAAGAAGACCAGAAAATTCGAACTATCAGATGCTGATATTCAATGGGCGGTCAGCATTCTCACTTCAAGTGATCAAATCGTACCTCATTCCGCCCAAAATGCAGCAGACTTGCAAGCTAAACATCCGGGTGTGCCTGTTGATTTGTGATACCTTCTGACTTCCACCACCACCAGAGAACCAATTGCTACCAATTATGTGAACCAGTTATGTGACCTCGCCAACAGAGGTCACATCAACCGAGGTAAAAGCTGCCACTACCTCATTAAACTCCGGCTCACGCGCCAGCGTGGACTATCTGCGTGCGGCGCATCTTAAAAACACGACAGGCAAGGCTGCTGGGAAGCTTGAGCTCGCCTGATTTCAATAACGACAGCCTTGGAAATCGGGACCCTCAACCAGCCTCAGTACAAGGGGCATTCTGTGCGGTGCTCATCGCCCTGAGGAAAAGTAATGATCGCCAGAGACCAATCGCAACTGGCCCCGTATACAGGCTTCACACCACCAAGATCGCCATGCGGCCGCTTATCCCCGAGCATGTCGAACAATTTCGGCCGGTAAAGCCATGCTTTGGAAGTCCCGCCCGATATGAGACAGTGGCGAGACCTCCCGGTTTCTCATGCAGGGTTTAAACGGTGATGCAGTCGTGGTACAGATCGACATCCAAAACGCTTTCAATACGGCACGCCGCGATGGGCTGTGCGGTGTAGTTAGTGGACGGATTACACCCTGCCACAGGTTGCTATGGCAGGCGTAGTCCAAACCGACGTCATTCTTCTTGGGAGACACCCCAGTTCAGTTTACCACTGGCCTGCAGCAGGAGTTCATGTGGCCTAGTTATGTTCTCACTGGCTGTAGATTCCGCTGACGGAAGTCCAAGTCGACATTCATTCATGCCATCGTATCTTGATGTTCCGGCTATAGGGGGTGACATCAACTCCGTATGCCAGGATCTGGTACACCTCTTCCTGAATCTGTCTGACGTTGGAATGGTAATGCACTCCAGGGAATGTGACATAGCTTTGTCAGATCAGGGTGACAATCAGTCAGGGATCGTGAATGTACGCTTATGACACACTGTTCCCGGAGCAGCTGTTGTGGATATGTCCGGAGCGACGATTCTAGGAGAGTCAATGGCTGATACAGCAATAAAGAAGGCGCTGAATAGGAAACGAGAGGATCTGGAGCCGATGGTTGGCTGTTTACAACGCGTTGATCCTCATTCAGCATTCTCTGCTCTTATCCCACCTTTTTGTAGCTTTCACTTATTGTTAGATCAGGTGCATACAATGTTATTAGTAATGCCAGTTTTATCGAAATCCTGGACAACTCCGAATCTTGACTTGAAGTGGCCAGCTCTGCAAGAGAAATCTCATTGTATTCGCTGCTTACCACAATGGAAGTGGTTCATTTTATGTGCATTGAATCGTCCAGCTTGTGTTTTCTGCAATGTTTGCAACACACTTGTGCAATAAATGCTGCGAAAGCTTGAAACACTCTGTTCAGACAAAAAGGTGTGCGAACATGAAGCTGTAACCCCACGAATTCAACGAAGTTCTATACTATGGCTTTGATTTATTCCCTCGGCCTTTACCGCGATGGCTCTGCTCTAAGCGCACTCTGGCTTTGGGATCGGGAGTATCACGCGGCCCGTAGTGACGCACTGGTTGCAACTTTAAAGGGGGCGTTCCACATTTGTATGGGGCTTTGAACTGAAATAGCCGTCTTGAATATCAATCGGTGCTGTTCACAGCCCTGCCTTTCTTACGACCTGAACCCCTCTAGTTTCTGAGCCGCTCGCCCGCGAAGATGTGCGGACTATAGCGGGAAGACTATTTCAAGGTCATCTCGGCATCCATGACGCTTAAATAACGTCATTAAAATTCTGCCATTCCATTAGTCATGCAGCAATCAAGGCCAAGAAAAATGTAATTGTCAAATCGTTTGTCTGGCGTTTATGAATTTGATGGTGCCTGAGTCACTGCATCGAAACGTAATGACGGACCTTCGTGCCACTTTGAGCGAATGACACACCGCACCGAGTAACACTGATGCATCCAGGGACGAAGGGGTGCAAAGGCAGCGTACCTGGGATTCAGTCCTAGCGGAACAGTCCGCAAAGATATTTGCTTGCCATCTCAAATCAGATCGGCTGAGCCAGATTACGGATCGCCACAGCTCAGAAAAGTGGTGTCTAGCCTCATGCCATACCATCTGGCAACCTTGGAACACAGCTGGACCAGAGCACGCTGCGGATCGCGATTGCCCTTTGCTTGGGTGCTGACTTACGTCAGCCACATAAATGCCGGTGCTAAGAGGGGCAGTAGGGGATACTGCGCACTGGCCTGTCGTTTGGGTGCTGGGCGGCGGCCCAGATTCACGCGGCA